ATTAAAAATAATCTATAATTTGTAATGTTACTTATAAATAAACGTAGTTTATTGAAACCATACACTTCATTTACTGTACTATGCTTCAAATTCAAGTATGAGTATTTAATAAGATATAACTAAAGAAAAGAAAACAAAAATATTAATTTAGTAGATGATATGGTCGACTTGATTAAGAACCATTTTATTTAAACTAGATGTCAAACAATTGAGAGAATGAAGCATAAATAATTTCTTATTTCCTCTATGATCTTGTTCTTCTCAATTTACATAGAGAAAAAGAAATATGAGAAAAAACCTTCTAGTTTTTTTTTTCTTTCTATTTAATGATGTTTGTTTCATCGTAAGTGTCATACTCTTTTCTCGACACAAAATACAAATATTCTTCAATATGATCATCAATTTGTTTTGATAGAAGTACAAAATGAATACATCATTGAATAGTATTGTAATAACAACAATTCATTGTAGTCTTTATCGTTTTCTTGGTTTCATTTTACTTATTGCTTCTTGTACTAATTTATTTATTACTTTTCGTTATTTAACTAGTCGATATTTTACTAAAACAAAACATTTTACTATTAATCGTTCATCACCAGTAATCAGTGGTATGTTATTTAGTTCAACTTTAGTTATATTTACTACTGTTCCATTTGTTATTATGCAATGTTTTACTTGTCAAGCTTATTTTTCACATGAAATTATTTGTAAAATGCATGGTTTTGTATGTTTTTGTGCTGGACTTTTTAATATGTAAGTTATGATTAATTAGATAAGTAGAAATTATTTTTTTTCTTTTGTTTATTTAAAGGTATATTGTAGCATTATTATCTTTTTCTCGATATCTAAGTATTCTTCATAAACCAAGTTGGCTTAATCGATTATTTGAACAACGTTGTGATTTAAATGTATTATGTTGTGCATTATTAGCTATTTGTTGGACATTTCCACCTATTTTTGGTATTGGAAATGAATATGTTCGTGAAGGTGTTGGTTTTTATTGTAGTTTAAATTGGAAAAATCCATCGATTTATTCACGTATTTATTTAATATCTGTAATCTTCTTTAATTATTTCATACCATTAATTCTTCTTGTTTATTCAAATCTTCGTGTTTGTTTTACTCTTCATCATTTATTAAAATCACCTAAAAGTCCAAAATATATACGATTATCGAAAACACTTAGTCAATCGAAAAATTCTGATGTGACTGATAGAATATCATTGGAAATTGATTTAAATCGATATTTACCAGATACACGATTAGAAGAAACAACAAATCGTTTACAAAGATTAAAAATAGATCGACGTTATGCACTCATAACAGCTATGATAGCAGCTCAATATCTTATCACATGGACTCCATATACATTTGTCGAACTATTAAATGTTATTGGACAGAGTACATTTATTCAACGTAATCCATTTTTACCTACACTTTGTGGATTATTAGCCAAATTATCGCTTATTCTCAATCCACTTATATTGATCTATTCAAATAAAATGACTGAAACATAAATATTTTGTTATTTTATACGAATGAAACTATTTATTTATAAAAGAAAAAATGTTTCATGTATGATATATCTTCCTTTGATAGACTATTAAGATCAATACACAATAAAATCTTATTTCAGAATAATTTTTTTTTTTTGTTTAGAAAACAAAAAGTATTCATGTGAATTCGCTTGTATTTTCTAGATTTCTATTTTTATTCATTGTTCTAGAACGGAAAAGTCCTTTCCTAATAATGTAATGATATTTCTAATTGTGTTCTATAATAAGAAATAATGACTGTGATAAGACTATTATGTATAATGCGAACTTATCATGATCCAAGTAAAACAAAACAAAAAATAAGCATAACTAAAATAATTCAAAAAGAAAAATATAAAAATTATTCAATGAAGTCGAAGAAACTTGACGAAATTAATAGGTTAATATAAAACAAATGATGATAGGGAACGAAGGTCAAGAAAATTATATCTTACTAGAAATTCAAGTTTTAATAAAAAATGCATGAGGTCTTTTATAATTGAAGAGAGATCAGCAAAGACTCACTCATCATTACTTATAATATGTAAGCAATATTAATATATGAAGGAAGGAAAGAAACTATAAAGACTTACGAAGATTATTCTATTACTTGTCATGAGAGTGCATTCTCTATCAACAAAAAAGATTTTTTTCCTTATAAATACAAGATCACTCTCTAATTATAAACATCGATTCTCAGCTGAAAAAGCCATGTTGTTCATAGATAGAAAACGACATTAACCTTGAGAAGAACATTTATAAGATTATCGAAATTTAAAGAAAAATATAATTCCAATTGATTATATTTAATGAAAATTGTTAACGTATGTGCATTAAAAATGACAGAGTGGAAGCTTTCCCCTTGCAAAAGCTCTATATTTCATTTCTTCGAGCTGCAATTTTTTATGACAATTAGAATCAAATCGGAGTTCGTGTTTTTTTTCCAATGATGCTAATTTTGTAAAGACTACTGAATTTCGTAGGAACAACATTTTGAAGCAAAAAAAAATACACATTCCAATTTGAGAATAATTAGAAATATAGTGCGAGAGAAAATGAGGAAAAACTTTCAAAGATTGATTTTGAGAATAATGCAAAACAAACTAAAATTTCGTCTTTTTTCTCTTTTACTTATGAGATTCTCTTAATAAGTACAAAATTTAGTTTTTAATTGGATCATTAATGCGTTAATCATGATATACATAATCTTGATGTAATTTTTCATTTAGGCAAAAACAAGAGAAGATGAATGTCAAGTTTATTTAGACAGGATAAAAGAAAAGAGAAGAACAAACAACCTACAATCCAAAAACTAATAAACAGTATATATGTCAGTGCCTAATTTAAGATCTGACTTTGAATTAGTCTAAACTTGAATCGAGTAAAAATCTGAAATCAAAACTCAGTTTTAGTTTTAAAATGTAAAACACGATGTAATTGCTATAGTTAATTATATAGGAAGATTATTTTATTCTATGTATTTTAGGATACGCTTCTTCAGCATCCTTTTATCTAATAATTCAGAAATGCAATAAGACGGTAGTTCATTTATTATTACGAGACGTTATTGATATATGGTCTGTGATCGTATATCAACAATGTCTGTGAAGTTTCTTTAATTATATCTGTTACACTTATGATATGTCCTTGCTAAGATCAATCACACGTCTGTGGGCAGGAGTCCATATTTTTATCCCGATGCTTTAACACTTCTTTTGATTATGTTCCACAAAAGAGAGAGAGTGTCTCAAAACAACAGACGGATAAGTATCATTTGGCTAAGCTCTTAATTATTCAGTAAAATGAAAAATCAAACTATATATAAAAGTATAAAAAAGAATGTTTCTAACATTCTATACGATGATTCAAAGTCAAATAAATAGATAAACAATGATCAAGAGAAAAAAATGATCATATTGATGATAACACTACATTAATGAACTAATCTGAATAGTTTGTTTAATGCTTTCAGTCGATCATTGATACTCATCGTGTTCTATTTTTTGCCTTCTTCAAGTTTCACCTTGAATTGCTCATTCATTGATCTCTTTGCATAAAGTAAAATCTCTCATAGAGAGAAAAATCTCGTATGTTACTACTTTCTTGTACACGATCCAAACACAAAAGTAGTTGATTCATCCTCCGATGATGTCAATAATGAGAATGGTATGAGTAGTTCGATTCTATGTTGTTAGCAGACATATGCCTCTGAAAACATTTTATAAGAAAAAAAAAAGACTAAATACAATTTGCTTCGAAGCAAGCCTGAACTCTTGATGATACAAAGTTTTACGAACAACAGGGCTACTAGCAAACGAATGCCGCAGTGTTGTGATTTTTCGAGAGAGGCATATGAAAGAGTATGGCTATGGAACAGAAGAGCTAAGAAATACTATTTCCACCTCAAGTATGATGTCCAATTCTGTCCTGTTTTGTTTTTCAATGGCTCAGTAATTTCATTCGACCAATTAAATACGAAAAAAAGAAAACTAACTTCACGAAAATTCCCAAAAGATTCAAACATAGATATTTATCGATATCGTATTATTTTACAACATGGTACGATAGATTCATTTTTTTCTAAAGTCACGAGCGACATCTAACAGCATGTTTTACTTTGCTTAAAATATCAAACAGAGACAATTCATATGGTATTGACATGAATTTTGAAAAGCATACTCGTATGTAAAACAAAATTTCTCGGATGTAAAGTACGTTTATGAGGGGATATATATAATAAAACGAAGAGCTTGATGGCAGAAACAGTTTCCACTTCACTGATTGCAGTCATCGTCTCTCACGCTCAAGGTATTTATGGGCACGTTTTGCTTTAATCATACTCTGTACTTTTTTTATGTAATTTAAGGACATAATATCGCGTGAGCATGAGAGCGTTGCGTGATAAGTATGATTAAAGTAAAAATACTGCGGTAAACATTCACATCCATTGGCTCTTGTATCTATTGACTGTCTTACTGCGACGCAGGAGAAATCAACCACCTGTCAAAACAGAACACATGTCAAAGTAAAATTGAATCTTTTAAAGTAATCTTTGTTTCGGAATACCGAAGTTGAAATAGACACCGGTGTATTTTCCTTTTAATCACACTCATCATACGTCACCCTCATCCTCACATAGTGTTGTATGTGTACATTGCACCAATCAGTGGAGAGTGTGATTAAAGTAAGTGTACCTGTTTGCGGATATATGTTAGTGTAGATCTTCTGTTTATCTTCATCACATTCATAGTATCCACACTCATACACCCGTAGACATACTCATACACGCACATTCACGTTACACATCTCACATCGACACTTGCATTTTGCAGCTTATGTGTGTACCTTTGCATCATCTATATCTTCACATATTACACCCACACAGTTTCATCCACACCAGATTCTCACAAACTCAAGATATACATCAGACTACCTTTCATTCTAGAGTATTTGAACCAATATATAATGGTCTCAAGAATTCGTGCTCCTAATGTTCGACAACGTTTTCTTGACATTAATGAAGAACCAGATAAACCATTACCTTCATTACCAATTTCCATTACTAGAAGAAAACAAATAAAATCATTATGCGAATGTGTGGAACCCATTCTGAATTTAAAATTAGTCGAAGATTTATTAAATAAAGTGACATATTCATTAGAAATATGTAAAAATCCGAAAGATGGTCTTACACAAGATCAGTCTGCTGCATTATATCTATACTCACTTCAAACTTCGTTTTATACGAAATTTAATGGTGCATTACGTGATGAAGATCGTACAAAATTAATACCGTTTTATGACTATTATAGATTGTTTATGTCCGCCCTAAACAAATTACCATCAAGTCAAGATAATGTGTGGCGTGGTGTTACTGCCAATCTGAACGATCAATATAGGCCAGGTACCATCCATATATGGCATGCTGCTAGTTCATGTTCAGATCAAGTACAGGTAACTGATGCATTTCTCGATAAAAAGAAACATCGAACATTATTTAATATTAAATGTTATAATGGAAAGACAATTAAAAATCACTCACGTTATCCGAACGAAAGTGAGACTATTTTACCACCTGGTACATGTATACGAGTTAAATCACAATCAAATCCAGCTCCTAATTTGTATATTATTTCTTGTGAAGAAGTGAATAATCTTTTAGCAACTCGAGGTATTGTTGATGCATGGGCTCCAATGCCTATAACTACATCAGTTTTATATTTGTTATGGCTTGATTCAAATGTTAACAAGTCAAAAGAAAATGTAGCAACACAAGGAGACTTACGTGCTTTGTTCAAAGATGATTTTCAAACGTTTGACAGAGCTGACGAATGTGAATTGTCTATTAATCAAAAGAAAAATGATCGTATAATTTTAATTATAAGTGGGCAACTAGGTCGAAAGATTGTTTCGAAAATTCATGATTTACCGCAGCTGACAAGCATTTTTTTCTATTGCCTGGACAAAGAAGCAAATCAAAAATGCGCAAAAAACTATACAAAAGTCAGTAGAATCACTTGAGTATGAGTGTATGCGAGTGTCTATATAGATGAAGTTGATACGATGATTGACTTTCTCACAGATTCAGATCAAAGGTCGAGACTGAGATTATTTTTTTGCTTCTTGTGCCGTCTCGCCTTAACCTTAGCTTTTTTCTTCGCGCGCATCTCAAAATATTGTTTTCGCTGCTAAGTCATGTATTTACATGACAAGTTTTGTCCTTGGACACGTTTTGTTTTACTTTATATCGAAGTGTACGATGTAGTTATATAGGAAATTAACAAACGCATTTTGTGAAAAAATTTACTAGATTCTGTTAAGATGCTGCTAACACCTCTGCAAAATACTCTAAGGTTTATTCTTTACGAGTCATTCGTTAGACTTTTTTCAGAAGAATGAGTGACTTAATACAGTATTGACTTTTTTTAACACTGAAAAGAATCTTTCTTCAAAATAACTACTATTGTTAAATTGAAAGAATTTGTTTCTGTTGAAAATGACGCAATCACCAAAACTGCAGAAATAATTACTGATTGGAGAAACACAGATCTGACTATGTAATCAGATCTAAGATCAACGAATTGACTTCTCTAATCAGTCTAGAAACTCTGATTTCATACAGTTGCGATATTGTCAGAGAGTTTCATGTTTGCATATAAATTAATCGACTCATACAGAAGATCAGAACGTCTGGAAGGATAATATGGACTCTATTTTTATGTTGTAGATCAAAGCAGTTGTCTCCTGGTCAAATGAGTTGATTAAAAAGGTCGAACAAGAAAAATCATCACTAATGTATGTTTTTCCAGTTGAATTATTGATAATAAGACTATTAGTCCTTGAAATATATTTGTTGTTTAGGTTACAATTGGTGAATCATAATAAGACTCGACCAACTGCAAAGACACCTTTGAGTGGTTATGAAAAGGAACCACTTATGTCTCTAGAAGAAGCATTAAAACCAGTTGATCATTTTATTGAAGATCTACCTAGACAAATAGCTGAAGCCAAACGAAATTGTACAATGCCTAAAGATGGATTAACACAAGATGAGTCAGCTTCTATTATGATCTATACTATGGAATGGGGAGAAACTTCTCTTTATAAAAGATTAAATGTCGCACTACGTTCCAAAGACAAAAATAAAATAAAACCATGGTTTTCATATTTGAAATTATTCATGACAGCACTGCATAAATTGCCATCATTTCAAGGAGTAGTTTGGTGTACAACTCAAATCGATCTCAGTAAGGAATATACTAAAGGGCAACGTTGTCTCTGTTGGGTTGTATCATCTACAAGTCGTGATATATCAGTATTAGAACATTATTTACATCAATCGGGCGAGCGTACAATATTCACAATTAAATGTAAAAATGGAAAATCCATCAAAAATCATTCTTCGCATCCTGCTGGAGACAAAGTGTTATTAATGCCAGGATTTTATTTTGAAGTTACGAGTGTATTGAAAGCAGCAAATGATATGCATATAATTAGTATAAAAGAACTCGATTCACCATGGTGAATTTTACTCTGCATTATTAGATTTTCTGATATATTGACCTCGTCATTGGAATTTTTTTTTAGTTGTATTTATATTTTAGAACTTTATTATACAATTGTATATTTCTATTTGAGACTTCTTTCTCTTTTCTTTCGTAGTTTTCTACGTAATATTTACATATGTATGTCGGAGTTGACTTTAAAATATATAGTAAATGTTTATTTACGTCTAAATATCATGTTTATTGAATAGATAAAATTGAGAAAAAGGAATGAATATTGACCGAAGAGCTAACAATAATGGATAGAAGAATAACAGGCATATTACAGGAAAAGAGAACGCGTGGATAAACATGGATTGGTCTCGGTATGAGTAGTTGCGTGATGGATTCCAAGTCCGACGCCTATACGTCATACTAAGACGCCCATCAACTGTATCTATTCAATAAATATGATATTTTGTATATAAAGAAACATTCACTACTTTACATTTTAATGTCAACTGTGACACTTGTATGTTGATTCGTTTCTTCAGTATTGAAAACTGTTGTGTTTATTTTCCATCTCTTTTTTTACTCTTATTAATTCCTGTTTTGTAACTATTGTCTCTATATTCACATGTACTCAGGAAACTCGATATTTTTCATATTTTCACTTTGTTGAATAATCGAACCACAATAAGTGACAATTTAGTGACGAAATGAAGATGCGAATTTTTTTGTTCTCATCATATTGTATTCAAAAACAGATTATGATCTTCATGATTAAATGTTTATCACTAACCTTACTGTTAAATCAATGGTGTGGGTATCGACGCATGAATATTTTCTCTCAACAATTTCAACACTGTAAACCTGTATCCACACCCACATATACTATTTCTTCTGGTGATTTTTTTTTGTACTTTAATTAACAAAAATTATTTTAAATAAACTTAATGTCTATTGTGAAATATGATTCTATCCATTTTTTCAATTGCCAATTCAGTTCTTTTCATGTAACTGTTGGACTGAAGTCGATATATGCGGAACCAACCTCGAACGCCAGGATCGAGCCCAAAGAAAAATTGATTTCGCATATGTCTATATCAAGTCTAAACGAATATAAAAATCATCTTATACATCTATGCTTCAACTAAAGTTGAAACTTTAACAAATGAATATCTAATTCAATTGATATTTCTTTTTTTTGCTATTGTATAATGTTTTTATTTTCTTCGTAAACTTGGTAACTAACTGTTGTCGATAAACCATGGAACCAAGAAAAAATTAGGGTGAGAACTTATTCTTGTGATCTATAACAATTGACTTGTGTGAAAATTTTCAAAATAGCAATACAATGGTCAAAAATAATCAAACGGTTTTGTCTTCTAATATCGGATCTTATGTATATTCAAATGGGTCTACCGTCTCAAATGATCCTCGATAATCTGAATAGTCGTTCATGTGACTTATATGAGACAATTAAACACTGGAAAGTGTGATCAATTATAGAAGTTAATCATGAAATTTGTCTCTGAAAACAAAACTTTTACTGAAATAAATTGATACAACGTAGAATCAATTCATTCAAATAGCTTGGAAAACAATCACTACAAGAGATTATCTTGTCGTTTACTCAACTATATGTTTATGTACACAAAGAGTTAGACTTTTGGCTTATCGTTCATTCATCGATCTATTCAGATAAAGTAAGATCTCTCATAGAGAAAAACGATGACTATGCTATCACTTTACTGTCCACGGTCCGAACACAAAGAAGTTGATCAATTCTCTGATTATGTCAATAATAAAAATGAGGTAAGCATTTCGATTCTATGCTGTTATTAGACAAGCTAGGAAGCAGTGCTATCCCATGTCGTCTTTTTTTTTCAAAAACCGACGGTTAACCACGGTTAACCAACGGTCAAAATCCGAGCCGGTGGTCAAGCGAGGTTAACCGACGGTGTTGTTTAGTTATTTTTACCAAGTGTAATTGATGAAAAGTGCAAGGCGGAAACAGTTAAAATAAGACTTTTTTGACTTTCTGATTTAACGTTGATGAAAAATAAAAAATAAAATCTTTCTTTATTCAAAAAGAATTAATGCAAAACGTATCCCCAAAGCGAAAGCTTTTTGGTTAGCATACAGAAGATTTATCAGATTTCTTTCTATATACGCATAGCTTTTGAAATTAACATACATGACTATTCGGCACGCAAAAAAGATGCAGGAACTTGATTTTTCTTTAGATGTAATACAACACCTAAACCAAGTCTAAGTATAAATTTATTAAAAAATAAAATTATTTTTTTCATTTAGATATGTACCATTAACGAACTGAAATGTAAGTGTTAAATAAAAAAAAAATAAAAATAATTCTTTCACTTAGATGTGGTACAAAACTTACATGAAATGAAATTACAATTTTTTATGAAAATATAAAATTATTTTTTTTAAATTTAGATGCGATCCAACACATAATCCTACTGTAAGTATATATTTATTAAAAACAACATTATTTTTTTCATTTAGATATCGGCCATCACTGAACTGAAATGCAAGCATAAATTTTTGAAAAAAATTAATTGCTTTTTCGTTTAGATGTGATCCAACGCAATTCGAATGTAAGTATAAATTTATTAAAAATAAATGTTTTTTTATTTAGATGCGATCCGACACATAATCCAAGTGTAAGAATAAATTTTAAAAAAATATAACTTTTTTTGTTTAGATTTAATTGAAAAACTTATGCAAACGTAAGAATGAATTGATAAATTAAGTTGGGTATTTACCGATACGATCAATTTTCGGAATGCGACAAATCCTGTGCTTCTACATAAAGATTGTAGATTTTCAGTAATAAAGCACCCAAATAAGATCAAATCTTTGTGTCAGTTGTCAGTTTGAAACATTTTTAGTCGCTCTACTGATATTCCAGTACCATATTTGTTAAATCTTAGCAAAACACTTCCGAGATTTGGTACATAGAGTAATACAATATGAAGTAGTGTGACTAAAATTGTTTATAATTTATAATTGACACAAATATTTGGCTGGATTCGAAGTCTTCTTACCGAAAGTGTACAATCTTAAGGTAGCTAAGTAGAATTTAGTGCACCCCTAAAATAAACGATAAACATCATGAGTAGTTGGGTGTAGGAAGGATGCTGAGAGGATTGTGATGAAGAACCATCTCTTGACCGTGTTTACCGCCGGTTAACTGCTGTGAACTGTGGTTAACCGGAAACTTTTCGGTTAACCGCGGTTTACCGACGGCTTGTTACCGGTTCGAGCGACATGGGATCACCTTGAGTATGGTGCCGACTTGTGCGCTGTTTTTCAATGACTCACCGATTTTGTTTGATCAATCAAATACAAAAAAAAAGAAAATTAACTTCACGAAAATCTCCAAAAGGTTCAAACACAGATATTTATCGACATCGTATAATTTTACAGCATGGTACGATAGGTTCCCATGTGATGAAAACCGGAAGAAAATCGGCGGTTTGCCGCGGTTTTACCGGTCCGGTTACCGGCTCCCATTACTGCAATTTACGTGGTATACCGCGGTTTACCGCTAAAAATTATCCGGTTTACCGCGGTTAACCGGTAAAATATCCGGTTAACCGAATAGTCCTAAATATTTAAGAAAAAATTGCTTTAAACCATCTATTTTGCAATTTTAAACGTCTTTTTCGCACATCTTCCTATATGATAAAAATAAGCAAAAAAACCGCCGGTTTTACCGGTCCGGTTACCGGCTCCCATTACCGCAATTTACATGGTATACCGCGGTTTACCGCTAAAAATGATCCGGTATTTGCGATATGGGTTGCTTTTTTGAATATATCCTGGAATCCGGAAAGTAAAAATCCGGAAAATGAAAAATTCGGAAAACAAAAATCCGGAAAAGAAAAAACCGGAAAACAAAAATCTGGAAAAATCTCCAATATCCTTATAACAAAGGAGGAAGGATAATATTCTTTCATAAATGTTTATGGTTGTCTACGTCAACCATGATCATCGTCCACCGCGTATCATTCTACTTCATTGTGCTCTGCGCTTCTATTATTATATATAGACAGACGCGCGATGGCGCTGAACACGCCGCGGATCGTTAACTTAGCGCGCATATATAAATACACTGTCGTTCCACTCTATTATTCGCATTTCACATCAATCTCACTTCTACAACACTGAACTATCTGGTCTTCTTATTTTCTATTTTCTTCTCATTTTCTACCCTCTTCATCCACAATGATCAACGCGCAACCGACTCACTCCTTCGTGAACAGCAACAAGGGCAAGCCTCTTCTCGTTATCGACGGCTATATCTTTCAGAAGAGCGGCAAGGCCACGGAGGCAACCACCTATTGGGCGTGTCAATCCAAGCGATGTACTGCCACCGCTCACACGAACTCGAGGGTGGGTGTGAGTGTGGGTGTGGGTGCGGGTATGAGTAAAGATAGCAATGACACCCACACCCACACTCTCCTCATTGGTGGCTAGTAGTAAGTGAACTACATCACTTCTCTTCAAATCAAATGATTTCTCTTCTTTATTGTACATGTTTCTTTGTTAAATAAACTGTTGAATCTTTTTACAGAATTTTTCCCGATTTTATCTTTTCCTGATGTTTTTTTCCAGATTTATTTTTTTCCGGATTTTTTCCTCCAGAATTTTTCTTCCGGATTTTTTTTCCGAATTTCGGGACAATACCCTTTATACTAGTGTATATTCCATGCTGAAGGACATCAAATTTACATTGAGAAAAACATCAATCAAAAGAAATTTTCTTTTTGTTTTCACGGTTATAGAGAACTTATTCTTATTGAAAATGAATAAAAGTATCCTTTGCTTTCCTGCAAAGTGAATTTTAGAGTTTAGCAAAATCTTAATAGCGATAAATTTATAAGTATATTCATGAGTTTATACAGAGAGAATAAGATCTCATGATTTTCTTGTGTGGAGTTTGTTAGGTAGTTAAAAATTTCAACAATTTGTAATTGTTCTGAAATAGATAAATATATATTATTATAGC